CCACCACTGCACTGACCACCACAACACCAATGATCACAACACTGAGTACCGCAACACTGACCACCACAACACCCACTAATGCAACACTGACTACCTCAACACCGACTACACACCATCCATAACACCGACCATCGCAACTCCGACCACAGCAACTCCGACCACAGCAACACCGACCACAGCAACTCCGACCACAGCAACACCGACCACAGCAACACCGACCACTGCTAATGCTAACTAACATGTGACTGTAATGTTATTTGAGAGGAACTTGTTTAACAGCACAAATCAGCCTAAATGTTGTAGTTCCATCTCAACCAGTTCATCTTTCTGGCTGATTGTGCTAAATGTTCATCTGAGTTTGATTTTTAACGATTTTAACAACGATTACTATGACATTATTACCATTAGCATGCTAATGTGCACTTACTGATTCTTGGGCACTAAAGAGCTTTATAATACGATGCAGACAGTTCACAGCTGATTTATTTTGACCTCAGGAGCTGCTTGTAAAATATATGTGTACTGTCTTGGGGTCCGTTTGCTTTACTTCATGGAACAGATCAGGTACAGTCTTTTTAATTGAGAATGTAAAAGTACATCGACCTTTATAACGGATCACACTTATTTTCAGTCAAACACGTGAGAACTTAAGGTGAATTTATAAATAATTTTGCGACATTACACTGCAGTTAAAAGGAAAAGTTTCACCTGAACTGTGATATGAGCCGAGACCCAAGTTAATCAACACTTGGCATGGAGCGACGTGCTAGTAAAAACACTTCTTTATTTCACAAGGACTGTGATCGGGAGGAAAAGAGAAGAGGCCATTTTGGAGTCTAAAGAGGAACTCAAAGGAATATTATATTTGTTGAACATTTGACCCATCCTTCAATGTTGTTGGGTTAAACTTGTCATGATGACGGATCTATGGGAGGTCCCAGCTTTTAACGTGCCTATGACAGATTGGACTAAAACACACCTGAGATCTTTATATTTAAGATTTTATTAACAGTTTTAAACTTTTTTTTTTCCCCAGTTTGGCCATTTTTTAAGTTTCAAATTTACTTCCTGGTTGAAAATCATGACACTAGGGCAGGGGTGGGCAAACTTTCTCGCTCACGGGCCACATAGGGTCCTAAAGTATGACTGAAGGGCCGGACAGAAGACAGGACATAACTGTTAAAAGCTCAGATTCATTACATTCTGATTCACATTTATCTAGGACTTCAGACGGGCGCTACACGTCTCATCACTACTGTGAACACATAAAACTGTTAAGACCTGTTCCACTTCACACCACGAGTGAATTTATATCGTGAGCTCACCTTTTTCGGGTATGACTGGTAACAGCTCAAAAGCAATGCTCACGCCCCTAAACCGCAAACTATAAGTATGGTAATACTTGACTCCAAAATGTTGCACATATTCATAATTATGACTCAGAGTCCACAGATTTCTTTGATTAATTTTTACCAACTTGAACTGAAAGCAGTGCAGTCTTATATCTTAAACACCAACTACTTCACTCATGGTCCGAATAACTCCTGTAAGAACACTTTCCCATAAAGCATTGCGGCCAACATAACACGCCGCAACTCAATGTATATATAGTGCGCCATCTACTGGGAAACGCTGGAAATGCATGACAAATAAAACATCAACAAGGTTTATTATTGTAATTTATTCCAGTTCGGCGGGCTGGATTAAAAGGTTTAAAGGGCCGCATACGGCCCCTGGGCCGTAGTTTGCCCACCCCTGCACTAGGGTATTCCATAAATGTTGCCTAACCTAACATGTTATGCTTTTTGTAATGAGGACCCCAAAGCAGAGGCGAAGACTGGAAAGTTTTAACAGTTTTGTTTACAGGATAGTTGCAGGCTGTGGTGATGGAGGCAGGCTGGGGGCGGGCTGGTCCAAGATCAGCAGCAGTGGCACCGGCAAGACGACCTGGAGACAGATTTGCAGGTAAGTAAACGCACAGGTAAGAATTGACACTTGAACAGAAAGCGGAGAGCACCACCACTTGAGATGGAATTATCTAGTAGCAAAGAGAAGTCAGAGTGGGGTCTTTATACGCGAGCTGATTTGGAATGAGCTGCAGGTGCCACTCTGCCAACCACGCCCCGTCACACACCAGCCCTGCACAAAAGAAAACACAAAGGGAGGAGGAACACAAAAAAACAGATGCTCACATAATAACCGTAATGTAAACAGCGGCAAAACTCTGAGTCTGATTTTCAACAAAAAGGTGAGAGTGACTGTGATGTTATTTGAGAGGGACGTGTTTCACAGCACAAACACAGTGACCAGATTTTCAAAATCAAAAACTGGGACACTCTAGGTTTGTAGTGGTTGGTAATAATAAAATTGTGAAACAAGTGTGGAATTTAGTAAAACTGTTGCATTTGGCTCATTCGTGACCAACATTTGAGTCAGTATAGTCACATTTTTTGTGTGTTTTGGTCATTTTTAAGCGGATTTTCTCTATTTGACCTAAACAAATGACAATGTATGCGTTTCGTTACTGTTGTCAGGGATCAGATTGGTCAAAAACAGAGACACCTGGGACATTTCTTGTATACAACAGGGGACACAGGGCTCAAAACTGACTGTCCCGAGGAAATTGGGACATCTGGTCATCCTAATGTACCATGTATGATTGGTGGATAAACTACATAGCAGCTAATACAAAGCACTGGATAAATATCCGTATAAATGTCATGATAATACAAGGCGGCATTTATAAATAAAAGCGAACCATTCATAAGCTCGGAGGCTAGCACGAGCTTATTAGCTCTGAGAGGAATAGCAATGAATGGACTCATCAGTTCCCTCTTTGTTTTTCATGCATAAAAGTTGACAACTTTGCATTGAGCATCACCACACACACACCACCATATGCAGAGCGCGCCATATTAAATGGAAGTAATCCCACGGAGGCTCAGCAGGAACTCGCGACGAAGTACCGCGATATTTGACTGCAAAACCACTCAGGCAGAGAGGCGCAGAGAACCCCAAAAATCACACTAAGCACAGATCATTTCCCTGTTGGAGTTCTAGCTAAGTGAGTGATCCCCATAACATGAACGACTGCAACACCGACCACCACAACACCGACACTGACCACAACACCAACCGCAGCACCGACATCAACACCGACCGCAACACTAACCACTACAACACAGACCACCGCAACACCGGCCACAACACCGACACTGAACACCGCAAACACCGACAACGTCCGCAACACCAACACTGACCACCGCAACACCGACCACAACACCGACACTGAACACAGACACCGTCAAACAACATGCGACACCGAACACACCGACAACACCGACACTGAACACCGCAACACCGACACCGACACACGTCCGCAACACCGACACTGAACCACCGCAACACCGACACAACACCGACACTGAACACCGCAACACCGACACGTCTGCGCAACACCGACACTGACCACCGCAACACCGGGCACAACACCGACACTGAACACCGCAACACCGACAACGTCTGCAACACCGAACACCGACACTGACCACACGCAACACCGGGCACAACACCGACACTGAACACCGCAACACCGACAAACCGTCTGCAAAACACCGACACTGACCACCGTAACACCGACCACCGTAACACCAACACACCACACCGTCCACAACATCAACACTGACCAGCGTAACACCGACACTGACCACCGCAACACCGACCACCACAACACCAACATTGACCACAACATCGACACCAACACCGACCGCAACACTAACCACTACAACACCGACACTGACCACCGCAACACCGACCACTGCAACACCGACACTGACCACCGCAACACCAACCACCGCAATACTGACATCAATCAAAACACCGACCACCGCAACACCAACCACCACAACACCGACCACCTCAACACCAAGTATCGCAACACCGACCACAGCGATACTGACCTCAACACCGACCACCTCAACACCGAGTATCACAACACCGACCACAGCGATACCGACCTCAACACCGACCACCTCAACACCGACCACCTCAACACCGAGTATCACAACACCGACCACAACGATACCGACCACCTCAACACTGACCGCCTCAACACCGACCACCACAACACCGACCGCCTCAACACCGACCGCCTCAACACCGACCGCCTCAACACCGACCGCCTCAACACCGACCGCCTCAACACCGACCGCCTCAACACCGACCACCACAACACCGACACCAACTATCACAACACTGAGCACCTCGACACCAACCACAACACACTGACCACCACAACACCGACCACCATAACACAACACTGAAAATCGCCCGGGTTACACTAGGCACAAATCATCTCCCTGTTGGAGTTCCAGCTAAGTCACTTCTCTCTGGTCAAATTGTGTTAAAGTAAAACCCAGATTCAAATCTGACAGAGCAGTGCCGTCGGTGAGTATCACTCCCTCAGTATAAGTAGGGAAACACTGGAGGGACTCTTTTTTTTCTTGGGAGTTGGAGAAGTGTCTGGGGAGAGGAAGTCCTTGTATGAGCGGATGAAATGGATAAATGTTGAAATAATGATCTCGTGTGATTCTCCGAGCCGGGGTCAGGACAGTTCAAGGGTGCGGTCTCTTTCTCTCTCTCTCTCTCTCTCTCTCTCTCTCCTCTTCACTTTTCTTTCTGCGCTCTCTTCCCACTCTGTCCTCTCTCTCATCCCTTTGCTCCTCTCCTCTTTTTCTCCCTCTTCCTTCTCCTCTCTCTGCTCTTTCTCTCCACCTCCTTCGCTCCTCTTGTCTCCAGTCCACTCTGCGAACCCCCCCCCTTTTTCTCTTTCTCTCTCTCTAACTCTCCTCACTCCTCATCTATCTCCTCCCTCTCTCCTCTCCTCTCCTCCCCATCCCTCTCCTCTCTCCCTCTCTCTGCTCTCCGCCCCTTTCCTTCACTCCTCTCTGCTGTTCTCTAAACTTGTGTTCAGTTTGGGCAGTTGACCGAAGACCTCCACCATGCTGACCATCCTCGCGCTAGCTTCAGTTCTATTCCTGGGAACAGGTAAAACTCAGCTCCATCTACTGTTAGATCGAAAGTACGGACTAATACATTTCTGGAACCAAAAACTCACACTTATAGCACAAAATAACCCGCTATTTTTGGTAGAGTAGAGTCACACAAATGCTCGAAACTTTACGAAAAATTACAACAGTTCACCTCACTTCGATTTTGATTTCAGCTTGTCACTCTTGAATGGAATATGATATACATTTTTGCTCCTTTTTTGTCGTTTTTTCTTGAAGAATTTGACAGATTAGATGACTTGTTTCTTTAAATCGCAGTTAACATCATTATATTTCAAAATCTTAACCCTAACTCTACGCTTTTCTAGTTTCGTGCAATTTTAGTTAAGCGACCAAAACATTAACAAGGGTCAAAACTGATTCCACAATAGTTTTGATTTCACAAATAAACGTAAATTACAACTTAATTTTGTTGATTCAGTGTTTAAAATGTCAAAAAATGGCTTCCTTGTGCGTAAATTGTCTGTATTTTAATGGAGAAAAGGATTTTGTTTTAGAACTCGCTGCTCCTTCCTGTATTTTCCAACTTTTTGTTTGTTTTATCTACTTTTTTTCCGACAGACTGAGACTTAACTGATATAAAACTGATAAATATTGACCACAAGTTCCATCAAACTAAGTCAGAGTTAGAAAAATATATGAATCCGTGAAACGCGCTCTAAGGAGACACTACTTTTTTCGCCAATTTTGAGTTTTTTCGTAACTTATAAGCGCTCACTGAAATCGTTCGCTCTGCACTGAAAGATGTTTTAATATTTAATTCAGTGAACTTAGAATTCTGCACGTTGTACTTCAAAAGCTGTTTCTGCAAATACATTTCTCCCGAAGAGACGTAAAGATCAGCCTGTACAGAAACGGCTCCTAAACATCGAACTTTACAACCTCAGACTTTGATTTTGATGGAAAATTCCAAAAAATGAGACAAAATTTTTCAGTCAGAACTCTTCAGTGGTGGAACATAATGAAATAAAAGTAATTAAGCACTGTACTTAAGTAAAATTTGTAGGTATTTGTACATTACTTAAGTAGATTTTAAATTAATTATTTTTACTTCACTACATTTGACAGCAAGTATCTGTACTTCTGAACAACACCGAGAAGTTAAAGTACTTTTTATTATTGTCTGAGACCTGCTGAAAAAGCTGAGGGTTTATTTTGAACACATTCATAATATGAGCAAACTAAAATATAGCAAATAAAAACAGCAAGAATAAAAAAGATCTTGTTTCTCTTGAGCAAATTTCAGCCAGAATTAATCAAAATCTCTACATATGAGGCTTTATAAGATCTCAAAATCTGCTCAGAATACTTTTACTTTTTACTCTTGAAATACATTTTTATAGGAGTAGGAGTAGGAGTTTTTCATGTAGTACTTTTAGTTGAGTATTTGTTTGCTCAGGTGCCTGTACTTTTACATAAGTATCAAAATTTATTACTTCTTTCTACCACCTGATCTAGTTTAGCCAAATACTAATAAAATTCTAAATCCTCTCTGTATATTTTTTTGTATAAAATATGACAATAAAATGAAGCAAGAAATTTAAACCAGGGTCTTTCCATGTTTCTGTTTTGAAAATCCCCCAAATTTTCAGTTTCGGCATTTTTTTTACACATGAAATACCAAATTTTTGTATGGAAACATAAAATTATTAAAAACTTGTAATACATTTTTCTCTTACATTTATTTGAGCAAACTACAGTAAAGTTTCAAATGGATTGCTCTATTTTTTTATTTTTTATTTATTTTTTTCTGTATTCACCTGAAGTGCACACTGGAAAACAACTCAGGACTTTTGGTTTGATTTGAGTGGATTTTGTTTAGTTACAGACATTTTTAAATTGACAAATGTTGGAACCTTAACACTTTGCTTGTCCATGGAGATAGATAAGTTTAATACCATAGTGTGGAACCTTCCAGACAATACAGTAATATCACCATGGAGACGAGTAGGTGGCCCATGACCACAATTTCCACATTGCAGTTTTAAGTGGAATAAGATTTGTTCTTTCTTGACTCTCAAAGTTTAACACTCAAACTTACTTCATGTACTTTAATTTATATACATACTTCTGCACACGTTGTTTGGGACTGTATTCATACTTTGCAACATCCCATGGAGATATGACGCTAACTGTAGGCACTGCTAAGTCTGAAGCTCTGTTACTCAAATTAGATTTTAAACTGAGCTTTGTTTTTAACGCAGTTTGACCAGAAGGAGTTTGAGAGCTAATGTTTTTTGAGTATTCTGTCGATCTTAATACTTTCTTTTTTGTTTTTTTTGGCTGTGTTTTGTAATCTTTGCATTGTGTCACCATGGTAACCGATGAACATTCTGCCATAGACATCCATGCAAAACATCTGAATCTGCCATTGTCTTAAAGAAGAGGTATTTGACTTCTTTTAGATCACCATGTTTCCTTTAATGTTGGAAATGCTCTATTCCGCTAATGAAACTGCTGCACATCATATCAGGTTTGTGAAGTCGTAGTGTACACTTTTGGATCATGTTTTTGTATATTTATGGAGAATTGCCGTGTGGGAGCATGGGGGATTTAGGCTTGTGGGAGGAGCCTTGGACAGAATCTTACAGTTAGCCATGAGGAGGGTTTGAATAGGGCCCGGGAGAGATCGCTAAATGACTCAAAACCTCTTCAGACATGTTTTTGACGAGGAATGCCTTTATAACATTTATGAAAGCTGAAGAAATATCAATTTTGCTTGATAACCTCTACATACTTTCCCCACCCCATTTCGACGCATACATTGGTGCACACTGACATAATAGCATCAATGATCGTAAAAATAAAAAATAAACATGGCAATACTACTGATATTAACCCTGCCTTCGATTATCCTTCCGAATTGGTTTTCCGAGGAAGTTGCCTAACGACGCGCCCGTTTTCCTCGGTGCCGGAAAAAGTAGACAGAGCAAGGAGTCGAAATTCAAGATGACTCCGCCCACTGTGACGTGTAAATATGTAGTGTTTTCATTATGTTTGGACTAGATGTGTAACGATATCCAAGTCTGACAATACGATATCGTCACGGTATGAACCTCGCGGTACGATATTTATTGCGATATCGCGGGAAAGCTCATGATATGGTGGGGAGGTTCACGATTAGGGATGTAACAATATCCAAATCTCTCGCTACGATATTTACACGATATACATCTCACGGTACGATATTTAATGCGATATTTCGTGGAAGTGAACAAAACTGTTTATATGATACTTTTTTCTCTTAAAATGCCTCGACAAGACTTAATCCAAAGAACTAAGATTTAAAAGTACTACAACTGTTATTTCTTCTTGTAGTCTGCACTGAAATGCAGCAAAGGATCATGGTCTATGTAGTTCTTTTTTTTTTCTTTTTTTTTCTGCGTCATAACTCTTAATTTAAGCAAAGAGACTTGTAATTCGATATACTGTGATGGTCCATGATATTGTTATGAGAACTTTAACGATACAATATCACGATATTTCGATTACTGTTACTGAACACTTTGGCGGTTTAAATGACAGTTTCACTCATATTACTGCCTGTGGGTTTGGGAGTCGGTGTGTTTGATTTAATGGGCTTTAACCTCCCTAAGGTTGTAACAGAAGAGAAATCATAACATAAAATGAATCAAAAATTAAATGAATTAAAGCGGCGGCGTTTTCATAAGACGAGGAAATAGTCATAATCATCATCCACGTAGTCCGACACGCGAAACATAATAATACGCTTCAAGCTCGGATGTGACGTCCGAGCCGAGGTCCAAGTGGGAGTCGGAAGATGATGGAACGCAAAGTGTAATTATTAAAATGTAAATGGGTCGCGTTCCCATGACAACACAAGATTGCTGAAACGATGTAGTTTAAAGTGACAGGTCAGAACTCTATGGTGGGATTCGCTGTGATTTGTTGACCTGGTTTATGGTTCATATCAAGGCGTGAGTGTTGTCAGATGAAAGGACTTTAAAATTTAAGATTAATGTGGCAAGTTTGTGGAGAATATCCCAAACAAATAAAGAGAAAGAGAAACATTTGTGGATCAGAAGTTTTTAGTTATTGTAGATTTTAAAGATTCTGTATTACACAAAATGGATGATAGAGAGTTGAGCTTTACACCATGTTCTCTCCTTCAGAACAGACCTGGAGTTGTGTTTTGTTTCATTCACACATGTTGGAGTAATCCTGGTTTGTTAATCTGACTACATTTTCAAAACTCATGATGCTCTGTTGCACCTTGTGATGTCATGTAGTGGTAGTTTTCAAGTTAACAATGACCTTTTAGCTTTAATTTAGCAGAGATGAGAAATTCCAGAGTGAAAAATCATCCAAATGATTCTTATTACACAGGCCCCTGCTCTCCATCTGAAATTATGACTTCATCAAATTTTAAACACTTCTTCCTTTGCAACCATTTATACAAGGTCTGTAATATTTATTATAACAGACTAACTACTGTACACTACTGCACGCTCACTATTTATTGGCAGAATGTTCCGCAGTTACCATGGAAACACAATGTGCACATTAGTAGACACTGTCGAAGAAGTTTTAATATAGTCTGAAAACTCAAGAAAAAATATAAAATGTATTTATAGAGTGTAATTTCAGGAGCCTGTGGTCAGTCCAAATGTTCATGGTCCTGTTTACGAGTTTGATTTTAGTAGTAGTAGTAGTAGTAGTATATTTTCTTCAGACATGTACTTCATCATGTACTTAATAGACTGTTTGTCAGGGAATTTACCCTAAGACATCAAATTACATTAAATAAGATACACCAAAACGCGACAGTTTAGTTATACTTGTCCGAGTCTGTCCGTAACACTGTCTGACCCCTACTCTTCTGACAGCTACTCCCCAACAGCAGCTTTTATTGCTGTCATTTCACAGATAACAATACAGTACATTATGTTATATCACACGATGGTTACAATGATCACATGCCAACAATCTTTAGGCTAAACCACCCCCCCATCTCACACTTGATTACAGGCTCCAGGTGATAAACAATTAGGTCAGTTTTCTCCCAAAAACTTATGCTAACCACATGAGGGAAAAAACCCTTAGCTGTCTTCTCATGGGCGACTCAGTAGATTAGCTTGATGAGTCAGGAGTTCTTTAACTTAGGACATATGATATACATATGGAAAAACCCAAAAACACAATTGTTGATAACTTTAATCACACACACAAATGATTATGATTTGAAATGATTCATAATATTTAAAATAACACAGAAATTCTTTCACACTGTTAAAAACATTTCACATAAAACTATGACCAAAGGGGTTAAGGCTGAAGTGAAATCACGTATGAATGTCTGACCCTGTTTACAAATGACAATGCCAAGAATACGACTGTCAGCAAAAAAACTAAGCAACAACTTGGACTGAACAGAGAAAAAAAAGTATATATACAACAGTAGTAATAACAGCACTCATGAGTTCAGTACAGCAGTTCTTTTGAGTAAACTCTATTCCTCTTCCTACACCTAAAGAAAAAAAAAACAAGTTTTTACTTCAAAATCATCAACATTTATCTTTTACACCGGGGGTCACCAAAACATTTTCTCTCTGTGCCACATTATCGCTCCTGACTGTGATGGGGGTCGGGGTGTATGACCCTGACGACACAGATTATATTCTTTGAAAAACGCCACACAAAACAAAAAAGTAATCAGTCATCCACTGTTCTTCAAAAACTCTGCACTCTCTGTCAACTGTTCTAACACTCGTCATTTTGCTGTCCTTAACTGCACTACAGAACTCTGCACGTCCGACTCTCACTGTTTGATCTCCAGCTTGTCATGTGGGGAAAATTTGGCGGCAAATGTAAATACGTCATATTATTATTAAAATAAAATACTTCTTATAAATATAATTATTTAAACTGAAAAAGCAACAAAATACAAGGTGCCAACGCGTTATTATTTGCCAAAAAGTAAATTTAAAAAGTAGGCCATGTCAACTTTTGAGGATTGCCTCATAGGGACAGTTCAAGTGGTGGGGGCAGAGGGGCTTGGGGGCCAGTCAAAGGGGCGTGGAGGACCGGAGTCAGCCCGCGGGCCTTAGTTTGATGACCCTCATTTTACACTAACCTGCTTCTGTAGTCTACAGAGTCTACATTATTATCTTATTGTGTCTCTGTGTAGTAAGAATATGTCTTTAAATCATTCATTCATTAGCGCTCTGTATTTGTTTGCAGAATTAAATTTGTATATTTTTAAAATGTCTTTACTGATGTCGATCCTTTTAATCGTCATCCAGACTATTCCATAGAGCTACTCCTCTAACTGATAAACATCTACTTTTGATGTTAGTCCTTAGCCTGATTCATCAGCTGGTTTCACTTCATAGAAACAGTCTGAATTCGTTCGCTCGACAGTAGGCGGGTACTTTTTTTTATTTAAACAATCGCTGCTATTTGGTCGTGACGTATGTAATGCGCCAAATCCCGTAGGAAGAAGGACAATAACGTCTTTCCCATTGACAAAATTCACCAAACATTCTCTTTGTTTCGGCTTTAAATCCTCGATCGTTGCCAAAACAGAATGTATGGTTCTTCGCTGGTGCCTGAACTCATACTTCCGATGTTTTTACAAATTGTTTAGTGTATTTTCGATTCCTGACCTAGTCGCTGGAGAGAAATGAAATTGAGCGGAGGCACTAGGTGACGCCAGCCTGTCTAGTTAGTCCTGACCTTATTTTGTTGATATATACCAGTTCCTCTTAAATGAGTCTCTCTGGGTTTGTATTTCACCTGAATACAATCGTTTTCAACTAAAATTTGAGAGTGACTAACTGAAAAACTGTGGGCTAATCCTGGCTGAGAGACTTGTTTTACAGCACAAATCACTTCACCTGTTGTACTTCCAATCAAGTCAGTTCTTTATGGTCAGATTGTGTTCACGAGAGTTAAGTCTAGTTTGAGTAACGAGCTTCAAACAGAGCAGTGCTTCCAGTTAGCTTCACACTCCCAGGGAACGTTGACGAGAAGTATCAATACTGTTATAATTTGGACTTTTTAAAATCACCGTGAAGTTGCGTAATCGTCTAATACGAGCCCTTTAAATGCTCCTCTGTGGGACATTCCAGACATCTCCATGGAGACAATGGAAGCGCGATGCTCTTGACCTGAAATGCTCCACAGTGCACCTTTAAGTGTAGACAGGACAAATACAATACGGTCATTAACGAGCAGAACAAGTGAATCTCTCATGAGGGTTTCAGATGCTCAACGAAACAATGGACCATTCACAACACAATGGATCTGTTGTAGAATTTTTACAAGATTTTTGAGGCTGAAATTGAAATTCTGAATTCATAATTGTCATTTAAAAAAAACAGAAAAGAACTGCACTGTTATTTCACCGCACACACGCCCTCCGCTTCAGACTCTTACGCACTTTACACGGGGAAAGTTTGGTTGGATTATCAGTGGAGTTTGCATGTTTTCCCTGTCTTCTTTCAGTGAGGAGGTTGTTGGTTAGATTCCTAATTTCTGTGCACTTTTAAGGAGGACATGCACACTCTTTCCCTGGAGGTGTGGAGCTAACTAGGGGCACCTCTCTGTCTGAAGTTTTTAAGTAGCATTTTTCAGTTGGTCACTCTAACCTTTTTGTTGAAAATCAAGCTCCTAAACACTCCTGAACAAACTCCTGAACGCTTAGACTGATCACAGACTCCTGAAAATGTGTCCATCACCTGCTTGTTTCTATGGATATGTCATTGCTCTACCTGGAATGTTCCACAGTATGACATTAAACAGCTTGACTTACATTTATTCAATTGCAGGTGGTTTTAGAGCTCAAAAATACCTAGAAAAACAGACATTCTGACTGTCGCCTCTCCACAGATCTGACCTGTAACTTGGTCTGGTTTGGTCTCCATGAAGACAGAAAGGTTTAATGTCAGTCTCCAGGGAGAAAAGCATCTGATGGACCCTCTATCACAGACATGTCAAACTCACGCCCGGGGGCCAAATTTCTAGCCGGTTTCACTTCGTAGAAACCATCTGACCTCGTAGCATTAGGATTCGTTAATTCGATGGTAGGCATGTACTTTTTTAAAAATTTTAACCAATCGCTGCTATTTGGTCGTGACGTATGTAATGCGCCATTAACGGGGCTAACTGGTATATTAAGCTTTTCCCAAATCCTGTAGGAAGAAGGACAATAAAGTCTTTCCTCTTGACAAAATTCACCAAACATTCTCTTTGTTCCGGTTTTAAATCCTCAATCTCAGGAATCATTGCCAACATGCAATGTCTGGCTCTTCGCTAATTGGCCAGAACCTGGATTCACACTTCTGTCTAGTGTATTCTGAGCCCTGACCTAGTCGCTGGAGAGAAATGAAATTGAGCGGAGGCACTAGGTGGCGTCAGCCTGGCTACCAAATTTGGCCTGTGATATAATTATATTTGGCCTGTGAGATCATATTAAATATGTATTAGAGCTAGAGGTGCGCGGATGGGCTACTTTTTCAACCGCATCGCAAAACTCATCATCCGCCCGCTATCCATTTGCACCACAGTTTTTGACCAGTTTTCAAAACTGCACCCGCCCGCCATCCGCTCGATCTCCTCCCAGTTGCTCTGAGTTCAGAGTTTTTTATTTGAGTAGTGAAACCGCCACCCCCCCGAATTTAATTAAAATATTATTTTTCAGCGGAGTCCGCGGCTGTAACCGCCATCCGCGCATTTCTAATTGGAGCTGCCCGCCAGCTACAGATCGACTATAGAGACATTATTTCTTTAAAATGTTGTTATTATTTTATATTCTGCTTTTTCTAGATTCAATGTTTAAGCAAAACTATTATTAAACATTTATTTTAACAAGAAAAGGTTTAACATTATCTCAAAAGAACAGAAAACATGCAGATGTGGGTGAAATCTTTCAGTAAATTTTTAGTTTGGCCCACGACTTAGTCCCAGTTTTTAATTTTGGCCCTTTGTGAATTTGAGTTTGACACTCCTGCTCTACCAGAAAAGTTACATAATTTAGTGAGTTATTTTGCGCAAATAAACAATGTACATTCTTTTACAGTGGAACATGTCACATTAGTAAAATCGAAACAGAAATAACAACAAAAAATCTGCCCAAAAAGGAAAACTTATTTAAACTCACCCCCACTCTTCTAATCTAACACAAATCAATACATCAGTTTTCTTGAGTGAGTTTTCAGACTATCTTCAAACTTATTATCAGTGTTTTCAAATGTGTGCATTGTGTTGCCATGGTAACTGCTAGATGTAAAATGTCCCCACTCTAATGTCGCTGTAAAGTATGGAGACATGGTGTGCTGGGAGCTTAAACTTCTTGCAAAACTGTAGGCCCCAGGTCTCAGGTAAATCTGATGGGGCTTTTAATGTTTAGTTTGGTTGCTAAGTAACATGTGGCAGTGCTTTAGTACGGGGTATTTTCTGGTGACTGTTTACACTCATACATGTCTCTGTGTTTACCCCACTTCACCCCTCCTTTCTCTCTGTCTCTCTCTTCTTCACCTCCATCCTCCTCCCTCTTTTCTTTTTTTCTCTCCACCATTCCACCCTCTCTCCTCCTTCTCCCCTCTCTTTTTCTCTCTTTTGCCTCTCTCACCCCTCCCCCTTCTTCTCCCTTTTTTCCCTATCTTTGCCACCCATCCCTCCTCCTCCTCCACCTCTTCTCTCTCTTTTCTCCTCCCTCCCTCCTTCCCTCCTCCCCCTCTTTCTGTCATCATTCCTCCCTCTGTTTTCGCTCCCTCTTCCTCCTCCTTCCTCCACTCCACCCTCCTCCTCTTCCCCCTCTCTCCTCCTTCATCCCCTCTTTCTTTACTCCCTCTTCTCTCCCTCCTCCACCCCCTCCCTCTGTTCTCTCTCTCCGTCCGTCAGTCCCGGAGCAGACGGAGGCCATAGTGATCTACACGGGCTGGGAGAGGCACGCCCTGGTGGGCTCGGACGTCCGGCTCTCGTGCTCCTTCTTCTCGTGGCGTTGGACCTCTGATGACGTGACCTTCTCGTGGACCTACAGACCGGACGGATCCAGGGACACCGTCTCGGTAACACCACACAAACCACACTGACGCTGTGTCCTCGGGCAAGACACTTCACCCTGTGTCCCTCGCTCCAGAGAAAACGGCCACAAGATTCATTTGAGTTGGACAAAACAGGGTTAAAGTACAGATGGAAACCCACAGAGTGTGAATGGACATAGTTAATCTGCGAGCCATGTTCCAAATAGGAAGTGAACATGTGCGCAGTTCCAGCTCCATCGACTTTAGCTTCAGTTCACTTTACATTGAAAAACTGTCACCTCTGCTGTGAACCTCGTCATTTTGGCCTTAACATGTTCATATTCATCTTAATCAGGATCTAAATCAGGGGTGTTCAAACTTTTTTCATCAAGGGCCACATATCTAAACACAGAAGAAGCAGAGAGCTGATTGTGGGCCATGGACTGGTGCTCAGTACAGTGAATAATTGCAATATGTAGATGTTTAACACGTTAGAATGAGCCATCAGTCTTTATTTTGCTAAGATCCTTAAAACCACACACTAAATATGAAATATTAGCTTTATCAAGGTAAATTTTCAAAAAAAATTGCAGTAAAACGTTAATTTTTAATTGATGCAAGATCATTTGGGCCAATTCACCTGAGGCCTGAGGGCCAAGAAATATTTGCCTGAGGGCCGCATTTGACCCCTGGGCCATACTTTGGATATGCCTGATCTAAATGATCCTGGGGTTTTTATTTTGCTATTTTGTCCGTAAGTAAATTTCTATTCCTAATATGGAACCTAAACATGTAGAAACTATCTGCTAATTGATGGTGTTTTATGTTTAAGGTTTGAGAACTTCAGTGAGATATTAACTACTAATACATGACACATTTAGATCAGGATATCATGAGGTTCTGGTTACTGTAGAAGAAAAGAGGTGAAGGCCACAGAATGGTTTTCAGTAGGTTTAAAAAAAGAATACAGAGCTCCACAGACAGAACACCGGCTCTACTGCCCACGTGCTGCGAATCTCAGTAGTCAACACAGTACATTACATTAACATTACATTAACATTACACATTAACATTACATTAACATTACATTAACATTAACATTACATTATATTAACGTTACATTACATTTACATTAGAGTAAAATGTGATGTGGTCTGAGGTACGTATGTCTAACAACATGATACAAAGGGTACAAATTAGTGATGACTTAATGCATCATTCAGTTAACATCATGAGGGTTGAGACAAGAGGTCTATGGCAGGGAGTATTCATTCCATCACACAGTTTGATCTGCAGCTTGTGGCCACATATGACAACATCCTGTGCTCCAATTAGTTCCACTAAGAGCACTCACACTAGGACTTTACAACTGTGCCGTGCTCAAGCACAATTGCGCAGGGTTCTATCACACTCACACTGGGCCAAATGAAGTGTGCTGAGGCCCGGTCGTGTCACCAGACTCAACTAATGTTGAGCTCCACACTATGTCACATTTATTTGGTATAGTTCAGTCAACTGCTATCACCTTTGTTAATCATGTAGTCTACATAATCGTAAAAATCCTGTTACATTCCACCATCAAAACTCCACCTGAACTTGAACTTGGAGCAATCATGCAAAACTTCCAGGATCAGTGGGGTTTTCCCACAATGTGCTGGGGCTGTACATGGCACCCACATGAGCATTTTAGCCCCTCTTGACAGCCCAGAGGACTACTACAACTGCAAAGGATTCTGTTTTGTCATCCTGCAGGGAGTGGTAGACCATCGCCTCTGATTTTGGGATATCAGTTTGAGTTGGGCAGGACGAGTGCATGATTTCAGGGTGTCCTTGTTTGAGTGTAGCTAGTCTGGTACTCTGTTCTCCAACTTAACAGAGAGCTTAGGAGAGGTGGATGTGCCCGTCCTAACTCTTGGAGACGCAGCAAACCCCTTACTCCCCTGATTAATGAAGCCCTACCCTGAGAACCACATCAATCCAGCACAAGCTTCATTTAATCATCGTCTGAGCCGGGCATGGATGACCGTGAAGAGGGCCTTTGGTCAGCTAAAGGGAAGGTGCCTCATGAAAAGATATGACTCATATCTCCAAAATCAACAATATCATGTGCTGCACTCTTCACAAGTTTTGTGAAAATCACAGAGAAGAATATGAAAATGGTCCAAATGAGGAGGACACAAGAGAGAGGGAAGTAAGCGAGTCTAATGTTTCTGTCCAAACAACATCCTCCAGCGTCAGGGAAGCATTTCGTGATTATTTTGACAGCATTTGAATTAGTTGGTTTTATGACTGTGCAATTTGGGGGAAAAGGTTGTGTTTCTGATAAACATTGCAATCTCAATATGGTTTATCATTTAGCTCAGTGATTTTTAGTTCAATTTAATTCAGTTTACAATTATCATTATAATGGTAACTGTAAACTGAATTAAATGGCTGTAATAAAGAGCCTATGCTTCATAACAAAGTATAACAGGCTAGATTTTGACCAACAGATAACCCAACCTTAAAAACCCGCTCTCCTCTTTCTATGAAACTGTGAGATTCTGATCAGTGGCTAAATCTAAAAAACGCAGTATTTCTTTAAAGTGGCCATATCTCCTAAACTGTGCTGTGCTTCAGTCGCCCTATCAGCTCCACATCTCTCTCATGTCTTTATCTGTTACTCCGGATGCCCTCCCAGAGTCCAGACCAGCCTAATCCTTTGCTTTCATTTGGAGCCTGGCTGTGTGACCCATCTCCTCATCTCTGCACACGCTTTTTCATGGTGCATTTGTCAAATACTATTGAACATTCAGATTTAACTGCAATAAGATGATATCACTGCTATCAAAAAGGAGGGATCACTGTTACAAATAGAAACTCTTTTCATCGTTTAGACCTGTTTAGTCCTGGTTTAGTCCTGCTTTCTTATCTTAAACCTGGTTTTGTCCTGGTATAGTCCTGGTTTAATCCTGGTTTAGTTCTGCTTTCTTAGTTTAGACCTGGTTTAGTTCTGGTTTCTTAGTTTAGATCTGGTTTAGTTCTGGTTTCTTAGTTTAGATTTTGTTTAGTTCTGCTTTCTTAGTTTAGACCTGGTTTAGTTCTGGTTTCTTAGTTTAGACCTGGTTTAGTTCTGCTTTCTTAGTTTAGATTTTGTTTAGTTCTGGTTTCTTAGTTTAGATTTTTGTTTAGTTCTGCTTTCTTAGTTTAGATTTTGTTTAGTTCTGCTTTCTTAGTTTAGACCTGGTTTAGTTCTGGTTTCTTAGTTTAGACCTGTTTAGTTCTGGTTTCTTAGTTTAGATTTTTTAGTTCTGGTTTTTAGTTTAGTTTTTTTTTGTTCTGGTTTCTTAGTTTAGATCTTGTTTTAGTTCTGCTTTCTTAGTTTAGACCTGGTTTAGTTCTGGTTTCTTAGTTTAGATTTGTTTAGTTCTGGTTTCTTAGTTTAGATTTTTTTTGTTCTGGTTTCTTAGTTTAGACCTGGTTTAGTTTGTTCTTCTTAGTTTAGACTGTTTAGTTCTGGTTCTTAGTTTAGACCTGGTTAGTTCTAGTTAGACTGGTTTAGTCTTGGTTTAGTCCTGCTTTCTTTGTTTAGATCTGATTAGTCCTGGTTTATTCCCAGTTCCCTAGTTTAGTCCTGGTTTAGTTGTGCTATGTTAGTTTAGACCTGGTTTAGTTCTACTTTCTTTGTTTAGACCTGGTTTTAGTCCTGGTTTAGTCCTGGCTTCTTAATTTAGTCCTGGATTTTTAGTTTAGACCTAGCTTAATCCTAGGTTAGACCTGGTTTAGTTCTGGTTTCTTAGTTTATTCCTGGTTTAGTTGTGCTTTCTTTGTTTAGTCCTAGTTTAGACCTGGGTTAGTCCTGACTTCTTAATTTAGTCCTGGATTTTTAGTTTAGACCCGGTTTAGTCCAGTTTTGTTTGTTTGATGAGACCTGGTTTACACCTAGTTTAGACCTGGTTTAGACCTAGTTTAGACCTAGGTTAGACCTAGTTAGACCTAGACCTAATTTAGACCTAGTTTAGTCCTGGTTTAGACCGGGTTTAGTCCTGGTGTAGACCTAGTTTAGACCTGGTTTAGACCTGGTTTAGTCCTAGTTTAGTTATGCTTTTTTTTTTTTTTTTGTTTAAACCTATCTTAGACCTAATTTAGACCTGGTTTAGACCTGGGTTTAGACCTGGTTTAGTTCTTATAACCCACATATTCATTCATTTTCACTCTTGGACTCCTTCAAAAGCCTGAAGTCCGACTCTCATAAAAACTCTCTTGTCCTTTAGAGGAGAGGGGTGTATCTGATCACAGCTGAGCTCTGTCCTTTATTAACACACATTGTTCACGTTATAATTGTCCAGTATTTGGTCAAATTAATTATGAGTTCAAAAATTATAACACGTTAGGACTTTTTCAATGGGCAGACTCAGCTGTAAGGAGTCACTGTTTCACCTTCAGATTCTGTACAATATTTAAATGGAGAAAGGCGTAGTTATAGAGGATTTATTGTCCGAGAATCAGGAAGTGAGCGTTGGCATGCTTGTAGTTGTGAGCTTTCCGTGATGATCTCTGAAAGTTGTTAAAAGTGTTTCTAAACTCACCAAGGTGAATAATGAGGACGCTCTGAATGGATAAAGTAAGTGAGGAAGAACTTTGAACCACTGCAAACTGTTTCAAATGAAATAGTTCAGTTTTTCATGTTTTTAAGACAGAAAACATCAGGTACAGCACTTTTCATCTCGCAGCCCTACCATGAAAAGATGTGAAAAGGTTGAAAAGATGTTTGGTTTTGATCACAGACTGTTTAAAAAAGTGTCTCCAATTAAATGAAGCTTGTGGAGGAAAGCAGTTACAGCGGCTAATTTGGAGCACAGTTCCATATTTGGAATTGTGACCTCAAGTTTCATAGCAACCAACCAGCCAATCCAGAGTGAGGCTATTGAAAGTAATGCCCTTTCTTTTACCAATGCTGATAGTCCTGGTTTAGTCCTGGTTCAGTCCTTCTTTAGTCCTTCTTTCTTAGTTTAGACCTGGTTTAGTCTTTCTGTCATACACAGCAAAACTGGAGGGTTACAATTTCAGGGTAAAATATTTTGATGATATGAGTCGTTTTTAACACAAAAAGTGTTATTTTAAGTATTTGAAAGTTAAATGGGGGTTTGAGTTGGGGTTATTTGCCAGAGTTGATATGGTTGACGTTAATTTAACTTTCCCTAGTGTTAATTCAGCGTCCCTTCGTGTTAATTTAACTTTCCCTCGTGTTAATTCAACTTCCCGTAGTGTTAATTCAACATTCCTTAGTTTTAATTCAACATTCCTTAGTTTTAATTCAGCTTCCCTTAGTGTTAATTCAACTTCCTTTAGTGTTAATTCAACTTCCCTCAGTGTTAATTTGGCTCCTCCCACCCACCACTTCAAACTTCAGCAAGAAAAGACCAGTTTAAATCAGTTTTGTTCATAATTTCATCTTAAATTAACGAAAATAAAGTGTAAAAATAAAACACCTCTGTGTGTCGTTTAGCTGTTTACTCTCAAAATGTTAATATAATTCTTGATTTTGGGGTTAAACAGGAACTTTGGTCCAGTGTTACTTGATTAACATTTCCAAAAATGTTAAAAAATAACTCTAGAACAGATTGGACTCATATAAACCCTGAGAAAATGTAAAAATTGAATCTGTGAGAGTCAATTACTCCTCTTTTTGCTGTGAGTTTAGCCCTAGTTTAGTTCTGGTTTAGTCCTGGCAACACTGTCAATCAAACCTGTTACTAACACTAGCGGGAGTGACCTCTGGGATCGAAGGCACCTGATTTGACCAATTATTAATGTTCAAATCTTGATTTACAAACAAAATATTGAAATCAAAACCCCAGGATCATGTGTCGCGGATTAATATGAACATTTAAGACCAAAATGTCGAGGCTCACATCAGCAGCTACAGAGAGAGGGGCCACAGTTCGAGTCGATGGAGCCAGGAATGCACTCTATGATTTTGATCACCATTTCTTGAACCAATACCAAAAGAACCCAGTTAAAGCAGATGTTCTTGGTTCCAGATCTTTCATTACACTGGTGGGGTGCCGTACCTGGACAACAAGGGCCCCTTCAGAGACAGACTGGAGTTTGTTGGTAACCCCAGCCGACGGGACGGGTCCATTCTGCTGAAGAACGTGGACTTCGGAGACAACGGAACCTTCACCTGCGACGCCAAGAACCCCCCAGACATCAGCGGGCGCCCCTCCAGTGTGCGCCTGCTCGTGTTTGAGAAAGGTGAGGAAGAAGAAAAAGAAAAGTTAGGATTCATTCTGGTTGATTTTGGTGTTGCTAAAACCTCTTAAAGGTCCTATATTACGCAAAATGGACTCTTGAGAGCTTTTAGCCCGGTTAGAATGTTATTACCTCCTCAAACACACACCTGGAGTTGTGGTTTGTTTCATTCACACATATTTGAGTCACACGTTATTATTAGTCTGTCTACATCACCAAAGTGTAAATGTTCTGCTCCACCTTGTGATGTCATGAAGCAGTAGTTTTCAAATGAACAGCTCCTTTTACCTTGAGTTCAGATGAGAGAGATGAACTGCTTATCAGCCACTTTAATGAACTCCCCCGATATAATAAAGTTTAGGGATTTTTGGATTGCCTGCATTCTTCTTTCATAGCACTTGATTTCTTTGGTGCCATTATTGTCCTGCTTTGCGGTTCCCACAGAGCCCACATGCACCTCTGCAAGGGCTGAAATCACCCAAATGATTCTACTGAAGGTGTATGTAGTTTAGAAACACAGTGGAGCACTTGCCTTATTACCACATGACATCACAAGGCGTTTTCTGTTTGCAAGAAAGACTAACCTTGCATTCGATTCTTCTTCCGAATCGGTTTTCTGAGGAAGTTGCCTAGTGACACATGTGACACGCCCCTTTTCCTGGGACAGTTCGACTTGAATGGCGGAGGCAGAAAAAGTAGACCAAGCAAAGATTCTGTCCAATGTGACGTGTAAATATGAAGTGTTTTCATTGTGTTCGGACACTTTGGAGGTTTAAATGACAATTTCAGTCACTCGTGTTACTGCAATACTTTACCGCGTCTGTATCACTGCCTGTGGGTTTGGTAGTCGGTGTTGTGGTGAGGCCAATATTGAACAAATACTTGATTTAACGGGCGTTAGCATCCCTAAGGTTGTAATGGAAGAGAAATCATAACATAAAATGAAGTGCCAAATTTCAAAAATTAAAGTGTCAGCATAAGATGAGGGAACAGTCATAATCATAATCCATGTAGTCTGACACGCCAAACAAAATAATACACTTCAAACTCGGACGTGATGTCAAATCCGAGGTCCAAGTGGGAGTCAGAAGATAATCGAACGCAGGGTGAATCTACAGGGTTTGTGTTTTAAACGTGTGAATGAAACAAAACACAACTCCAGGTCTGTTTGTGATGATTAAACTACATTAGAACAGATCAGAAAATAATGGAATATTGGCGCTTGAAGTACCTCACCTTTTGTTTTGGTTCTTTTAACCACTTCATATTTGGCTCCACCCAAACTACAGCACTGCTCTGTGATTGGTCTGAACTTCTGAATCACAACATCTGGAGCCGGTCAAGATGGATTCTCACAAATATCAGAGAATTCATCGAGGTGCACCTTTAAATGACCCATATTACACTACCTCCTGATCTACTGTTGTTGTTTCCTCATCACAAACAGACCTGGAGTTGTGTTTTGTTTCAACATGTGATACAGGAAGTGCTCCACTGTGTTTTTAAACTCCATACACCTTCACTAGAATTATTTGGATAATTTCAGTCCTGGAATTACCAATCTCTACTGAACTAAAGGAAGGAAATAAAGGATTACTCAAACATTTCATGAAAAAAACAACTGTTCCGGATTGTACACATTATTCCATACTCAAGTAAAAATTCATCTGTTTGTGCTTCAGACTGTATCAAACATCCCCTCCCCTCCATCCCGCCCCCTAGTGCCCACCCCGAGCAGTGCATCCGCTGTGCAGTGAAATAAAATCAATTATAATTTCATGTGTTTGAGATTAGGATCTGTGCCTCCTCCTACTCCGTTCTATCTCCAAGCTTTTATCCCTTGTATCTTATCTCTCCTCCTTCCTCTGCTCACTGTAAACTTTGACTTTCATTTGCCCTCTATCTCCCGCAGAACCGCCACAGCTTCAGAAATACACAAGCAGCCACGTCCTGAATACAGAAAGCGCCGTGTTGGTCTTTTTTTTTTATTAACGCTCATCTTGATTTGACCAAATGGTGAACTCAAAACCCCAGGATCACGCAGAGTCATTTCTTATCTTTCTTATATTTTAAGACCAAAATGACAAGGCTCACAGCGGCAGTTACAGAGAGACTGGAGACGGTTTTTCAAAACAAAGCGAACCGGAGCCAGAGTCGATGGAGCAGAAGCGCGCCCAGGCTCACTTCGAATGCGGAACGTTGTGGCTCGCAGGTTAGCCGTGTGCGTTTGTGTGTGCGGTCTATGGTGTGTTTCCTGTCTCTCTGTCTCTGTGTGTCGGGGCTTCAGGATTTATCATGTGGAGTGTTCGTTTTCTTTGCAAAACTGGAGATATTTTAGCCATTTTTATCAAGAAAAGTAAGATCGGAGCTGTAGATAAATAGCTTCTGTGGGTAAATATTGGTTCATTCTGCTGTAAATTTGTTGCAGCTCATACCTTTTAATGAAACGGTTTATTTAAAAATGGTTTACTTCTTTGTAGGCGCTGCGTTCCAAATAGGAAGTGTTCATGGGAGCGTTTCTGGCTCCATCGACTCTTACTTTACAAAATTGTCACTCCTTTCTCTGTAACTGCTGCTGTGAGCGTCGTCATTTTGGTTTAAAAATGTTCATATTAACCCGCTCTACGTGATCCTGGTGTTTTTTATTTCACTATTTTGTCCTTAAATCCATTCCTGTTCCTTAAAGGTGCATTGTGTAACTTTTCTGGTGGAGAGAAGACCCCGCTCACAGTCAGAATGTCGGTTTTTCTAGGTGTTTTTGAGCTTTAAAACCACCTGTAGTTGAATTAAATGTGAAGTAGAGATGTTTAATGTCAGGCAGAGCAATGATGTATCCATGGAAACGAGCAGGTGATGAACTCACACCCAAAAAGTTACACAGTGCACGTCTTTAATATGGAACATGGCACCAAATTCGCCCCTATATCTGCTGGCCTCTATGAGCTTCATTTGACTGGAGTCACGTCTTTATATATGTGTAAATGTAAATATGTGCTTTACAATGTGTTATCACGCCTATGCTCTCTCTCCTCTCTTCTTCCCTCTTTCTCACTCTTTCTTCTGTCTCCTCGCCTCTCTCCTCCTCTCCCTTCCTCGTCTCTCGCTCTTTTCCGTCTCCCCTCTTTCCTCCCTTCCTTTCTCTCCCTCTCTCTTTTGTCCCCTCCTCCCCCCCCCCCCCCCTCTCTCTCTCTCTCTCTCTCGGTCTCCCCTCTCTCCTTCTTCCACCCTCTCTCTCCCCTCTCCCCTTCCTCCTTTCTTCCCTCCCTTTCTCTCTCTCTCTCTTTCCTCTCTTCTGTCTCTCCTCCTTCCCTCTCTCTTTTGTTTCTCTCTCTTCCCTTCCTCCCTCTCTTTTTCTCTCTTCTACCTCCCCTAGCTCCTCCCTTCCTCCCTCTGTCTCTCTCTCTCTCTCCATTCTCTCTCTCCCCTCTCCCCCTTCCTCCTTTCTTCCCTCCCTTTCTCTCTCTCCTCTCTTTCTTTCCTCCCTTCTGTCTCTCCTCCTTCCCGCCCTCTCTTCTGTCTGTCTCCCTGTCCTCCCTCTCCTCTCTCTCCTCTCTCTTCTCTCTCCTCCTCTCTCCTCTTCTCTCTCTTCTCTCTCTCTCTCTCCTCTTCTCCTCTCTCTCTCTCCTCTCTCTCCCTCTCCTCCTCTCTCCTCTCTCCTCCTCCCTCTCTCTCTCTCTCCTCTCCTTCTCCTTCCTCTCTCTCTCTCTCTCTCTCTCTCTCTCTCTCTCTCTCTCTCTCCTCCTCTCTCTTCCTTTCTCTCTCTTTCTCTCTCTCTTCTCTCCTCTCTCTCTCCTCTCCTCCCTCTCCTCTCCCTCTCTCTCCTCTCTCTCTTCTCCTCTCTCCGTCTCTCTCCCTCTCTCTCTCTCTCTGTCTCCCCTCTCTTCTTCCTTCCTTCCTCCCTCTCTCTCTCTTTCTCTCTCTCTCTCCCTTCTGTCTCCCCTTTCTGTTTCCTCCCTTCCTCACTCTCTCTCTTCTGTTTCCCCTCTCCTCCCTTTCACCTTCCCTCCCTCTCCCCTTTCTCCCCTCTTTCCTCCCCTCCTCTCTCTCTCTCTCCCATGTCTCTGCCCTCTCTTTCTCTCTCTCTCTTCTTCCTGTTTCCTGTCTTCACCTCTCTCTCACCTCTGTCTGTGTTTCTTTCATGTCAGAGTTTTGCTCAGAGCTCTTCCTCCTCCTTCCTCCTCCTCCTCTTCCTCCTCTTTCTGTCCTCTGATCATTTATTATGTGACAAACTGTGGAGTCCTGATACATACTCGTCTGGGTCTCGCCCCGTGGCAGGAGGGTCACAGGTTTGATTCCCAGATTGAGGGAAGAACATCTGTGTAATGTTTGCACGTTATTCCTGTGTCTCTGTGTCCACATCACCTGTACATAACACTTCCTGTATCACCACATGACATCACAAGGTGGAACAGAGTGTTTTGTGTTTGAGAGAAGATCTCAGCCTCAATCTGCAGAGTTTGTGTGTTAAACATGTGTGAATGAAACAAAACACAACTCCAGGTCTGTTTGTGATGAGGAAACTACACTGGATCAGAAAATAGTGTCATATGGTAACATTAAAGCTGCACTGTGTAACTTTTCTGGTGGAGGATTCATCAGATGCTTTTCTCCATGGAGATGCTATTGCTTTATCTGGAATGTTTCAAAGTATGGCATTAAACCTTTCTATCTTCATGGAGACCAAACCAGACCAAGTTACAGAAATGTTTAATCAATGTGTCTTGTTAGTGTCATTTTTGTACGTGTGATCTCGGTCCAGTGAAGGAGCAGACTGTGACACCAGATGATGGCTTTGTTCCAACATCTTCTGAACGTCCAGTATTGCTGTTTATTTTTCCTACAGTGATGCAGAAAAAAGTGGAGCCACCGTCTGTGTGAATGTTCATGTCTGTGGGTCGGTGGATCTGACGTTCAACCCATGATGTTTTATGTCGAGAGCAGGATTCAAGCCACCGACCTTCAGATCAGTGAACAAACGTTCTATGAACATGAAATGAGCTACACTACAGCTCCACCAGTGTCGCCCTTTTAGGTTGAACTCATAGGCCCATAGAATTATAATTATTTTTGTATGAGTAGGCCATAATATTTCACAAACTGCATTCCCAAATAAATAAAAAAATACACATAAATACCTAAATTTGTTAATTAAACAGACAATAAAATATCATGTACTCAAATAAAAATATTTATATAATAATAATAATAAATGTTTAATCACAAATAATCAAAATTAATATTAATGAATAATACTGATAACAACAATGTTGCTCTTTGTCATAAATACAAAATAAAAGTATTGTATTCATTAATAATATAATCATTTTCCTGCACCTGTGTTAGACGTCCCCATGACGGCCAGAAGAAGTCCCCTAGTCCACGGTTCAAATGTTTAACTGCAGACTGATGTCCAAGTGCAGTCATAGTTACACGTCCAAATAGTGATCATAATTTGCACATCATTTAGTCCAGAATTGGTCTTGGACCAATGAACGCATTATAATCATGATCATCCAAAAGATGTCTAATGTTCTGTGGGAGATCAGATCTGTGGAGAGGCGACCTCGCTCTCAGTCAGAATGCCTGTTTTTCTAGGTGTTTTTGAGCTATAAAACCACCTGTAATTGAATAAATGTAAAGTAGAGCTGTTTAATGTCATATTGTGGGACATTCTAAGCAGAGCAGAGCAATGACATATCAAACAAGAAGGTGATGGACCCTCCACCAGAAAAGTTACACAGTGCGTCTTTAAATGTGAATGTGGTTGAGATCCTAACCCGTCTCCTCTGTCCACAGTCCCCATCCAGGCCGGAGTGATCACCGGCTCCATCATCGGCACAGTTCTGGGGCTGCTGATTCTCATCGTGGTCATTTATTACCTCATGAGGTTCCTGGTGGCTCGCCGCGTCTTCAGCCTCAACGTCAGGTCAGTGCCTTGCTCATGGGCTCTGTGTCACGGAATCGAAGTCAAACCTGAGCCCATCCCGGGCACCGAGACGTGCGTGGCCAAAGGGGAGGCCAAATGATGCACTGTGTTAATGCTCATAATATGTATATAATATGATTTCACTTTGTTTAAGAACATGAGCAATAAGAAATACATAGAAAATTGTTTGTTTAATCAGATTTTGGATTTTAAATGCCGCTGAATTTCTCAATTTAAATTTTTGAACGCAAAAACATGTTTAATATGCTTTTATTCTGAATTTCAGTTGTGATTTGTGTAACTTTATGGTTGCTAGGTAACCGTTATGGAATTCCCTAGTATGATGCCATGATTCCCAACCAGGAAGTAAAATTGCCAGTAAATCTTTAGTAAAATCTTAAATATAATGATAGTGAAATGTTTTGTTCCACCTGTCATAGGCATTTTAAGGCGACGTTCAGACTGCAGCCTGAAGTGACCCAAAACCAATTTTTTCGTCACTATGCGACCTGTATCTGATCTGTATCCGACACAGATCCAATTTTTTCAAATGTGACCCAGGCCACTTGGATATGTGCTCCTAAAATTGTTATATATCTGATCTTTTGACATGCCAGGTCGCATTCATCCCACCTACACGTCATAACAACATGGTAACAGGCACTTGTTGCAAGCCAATACAGCCCAAGACCGATGCATTTGCTCAATGAAATAGGCCGCTGAAGACGTGTTTCCTCCAGTGAGAGTGGTACAAGTAAGCGCTCACAAATAGACACAAATGCTCTTTTTGTCATATGAAAATTGTGTCTGAACTCTGTGTCAGTGAAGCAATGAAGTACATGTCAATCCTACCACTCTCGGTTGTGACGCCGCACTCACGCCGTTCGTTTCTACAGAAGTTGCTGCCACTGCCCCACAAAACACCATGGCCAAAAACTTTGTCCTTCTCCTTCTCAATCTCCTCCTTAAAAGAACGGTCCGGAATTTTGGACATAGTACCTCATTTCCTAGTGAGTCAGAGTGTTGGAGACATGTAGAGACACTTTTTAAAATATTCCATCCAGTCCTTGTATTTGCAGAGGTCGCTGGTGCTAGGCTAGTGCATGTCAATGGCCATAATTATCCTGCCACTAAAAACAGTCTTACCCACTCCACAAAACACCCGAAACAAATCTATTATTACACCAGACTGTCCATGTGAATGTCTGTGTTGATAGAATCATTTTAGAAGTAAAACCAACCTTACATTTGAAGGATTTATGTCTGAGAAGCAGTGAGTTGTAGTGGCGGACTGATATCACCGATCACCCATCTTACCAGCAAAGTAAAATAAAATAGTCCATCAGCGTGCAAAGATTCATGCGATGCAAGGTTAGTTTTATTTCAAACATTATTCTACCAACACAGACATTAATAATAGATTTGTTTCAGGTGTTTTGTGGAGTGGGTAAGACTGTTTTTAGTGGCAGGATAACTATGGCCATTGACATGCACTAGCCTAGCACCAGCGACCTCTGCAAATACAAGGACTGGATGGAATATTTCAAAAAGTGTCTCCACACGTCTCCAACACTCTGACTCACTAGGAAATTAGGTCTTATGTCCAAAACTCCAGACTGTCCCTTTAAAACAAATAAGCTGTTTGTGTTCTGGCTCCTCTATGACAGCGACTTTAAAATCTCCAGATGCTCAATGCTGCGTCCATGTTTAGGCGACTTCTGTAAACACTGAGCATGCTCACTGGGTCTGATGTCGTTGTGTCCCTCATTGCGCATGCGAGACACTTTTGGGGCGTTTAAAGTTCACACTGAAGATCCACTAGCTTAAAACACGATTCGCTACTCTTATTAATTCGTGAGAAATCCTGAACGACATACCGCAAAAATCGAATTTGAAAGCTTTAGCCTGCCAGTCCGCAACGTAAGCCTAAGGTCGTTATTTCCATGCTCGCTCTTTATCATGTCATCTCAGAAGTACAACAGTTGTTCCCTGACTTGTATGCCCCCAGTGCTTGCAGACAAATTCTATTTGTTTAGGTTTGACTCCTGAAATATGCCGATTTCTCTTGCCTAAATTGGAACACTCGCGCTCGTCACTCCTTTAGAGCCTTTAAACTGTAGCGAGTACTTATGATGAGAGTGGGTAGCTATGTGAATCTGAGAGTAGCAACTATGGGGACACTCTCCGTGGAAGGACTGGAAGAGACGCTATAGTAGTATATTGATATATTATGGTGAAGACGGCTCCGCTAAGTGTCCATTTCGCTGGACTTGAACCACCATCAGATTCTCTACGATTAGGTGGGACATATTAGATGCGACATTCCTGCCACCACATTGAGTCTTTGAGTTTTTGGTTGCTCCCTTCTATAATAATAACATGGAGAAAAGAAGGAGAACGCAAACAGAGACAGCAGTGTCCTTAACCTTCGCCTCTTACCTCCTAGCCTATCTAGACTCTCCTATTCCTGCCTATTTGCAAATCGTCTCGTAGATTTTAAGGATACAAAATAGGATGCGGTTTTAACGCCCTAACGAATATGAATGTGACTATGGCGGAGGTTTGGAATCCTCCTTTTAAAGGGTCCATATGACCACTAATTTTCTGATATTACGGTAAGTCAAATATGTTGTTTCCTCATCAGACAAGCATGATCCTGTGTGTTGCTGTTAAATAGTTATTCAATTCCCAACTATTACATAGGTTTTTATTTCAACACTCACATTCAAAACGGCATGCACCATTTTAGGATCTGGTGTATTAGCTTTCATAAACTCTCTCGTCAATCAGACTGAAAACGCAAATATATATACTAAGAAGGAATGCTTGTTCAAACCACTGGGCTCGGAGTGAATAATTGTCAGTAATGCAGCAACTATAAAACACAAGCTAAGGGCCCAGGAAATATACACACAAAGAGTGATATTAAATGAGCTAATGTCAAAATAACTAAAATATATGTATTCGCATATGAGATAGCTATAACTATTTTAAGTGGACTACTTTTTACTTTTACTTCCCGTAGCATATTGTACAGAACAGGTTTTCTGTATGTGAAGGGAATACTTTACGTATTATAATATAAAAGAAAGACTTGGTGCACGCGAGTATATATATATATATCTAGTAACCTTTCTATTTTTCTCTGTTTGAGAGTCTCTAAAAATTAAGATTTTTGAGAGACACGAGACCTTATATGTCATAAAATCATAGCGCATCATTGAAAAATATTTTCCCAATATACAATCTCTCAAAGAGATCCCTTGCACAATACAATAGTCTCAATATAATTCATGTAGGAATTACTTACTTTTCAATAAATATCTTGCTCGTTATTTTCGCACTATTTGCCACATTTGTTGAGAAGATATTAGAAGGTTTATTTTCAAAAGTGAGTATACTTTTAATTTATTCTTTTTATCTTCTTTAGTATATTATTTTTTTTTTCATTTTATTGTTAATAAAATATTGTATTTTTAATAATGCTTTGACAAAAATTTTTGGTATTGGAGATAGATGAACTGTTACAGCTTATCTATATATAGTTTAGTGCTGAAAAAGCTTTCTTTCATAAGTATTCAAATCTTGAAAAGTAAAATATTCTAAAGGTATTTGAGGATATTAACAAAAAAGTGACAAATATACAAAATCCTGCACCTTCTAAACTTGTTTTGACAAATTCTTATCTCCTCGACTTCCTAGGAATTGTAACTTGTCTATTTCCGCAAAGCGATCATAAACGCTAATGACCTTTCTTTAATACAATGAAATCTCACCTCGGACTTATCCAAAAGTAAGACGGTTGAAATAATCTTGTCATTACAGCTAATCTACGTAGCTATACTTCTTGTAAAAGTTAAGTGAGAAAACGTGAAGCTGCCGAGACTGGGGGGCGAAAGTATGCCGTCGAGAAAGCCCTCAGCGTCTATGGGGGGTGAGACGGTATTAGTAAGCCCTTCGAGGGGGAGCAAACCCAAGAGTATCACTGGCTTTTTTGTTGATTTTTTATTTTAGATGTTCCATATAACTGTTTAAAGGAGGCCTGGGTACTGCAAATTTCATTTCATCCCATGGTTACCATACCAAAGCGTCAAAAAAAACGCCCTTGACGCGCTTAATTTGGAGCCTTTTCTTTGATTTTTAGACCGCGACACTTGCCAAGTTTAAAAAATTTTGTTCGCACGAGCATCAACTTGATATATATGAGAGTAACGCCGTGAGTAGGGGGTACTGAAACGCGTGAATACGAACACATCTAGCTTGTGAAGGTGAACTCTGCTCGCTTTACATTCTGATACTTTACTTACTCCTTCGAGTATAGTGCCTCTAGTTCGTGAATAAGAGACCCATTTCGAGGAAAACTGATATGACGAGCCAAGCAGTTCCTCGACTGGTCTCTCTTCCTGTTCCTCCTCCCTCTGTTCGCATAACATATGATCCATCAGAGCGCACACCACATACCTGAGAGTGTTTTTATGACATAGCGTAAATACATTTTAACTACTCACGCGAAGGAGAAATCGGCACCTTCGAGCTACGAGAATCACTTTAAATTCGTACTACAGCACATTTTGAGCAAGAGCACGAAGATAGTTTCACAATAAAGTATGCTTGCATAATACAGAGGATCTTCGGCTAATGTTTACTAACCTAGAAATAGAAGATCACAACGATACACCAGGTAAAATTGTCTAACATTTGTCGAGTTACTACAAGTGTCTAACTGGTCTATAACAAACTCAAGAGGCCTAGCGAGAGAGGATCAAATTGAGGTAATGCCATAAGCTATAAAAATTATAAAACTCACGGTCTGGGTCGCCTAGTAGGTACTTAAATTAAAAATAACGGATTTATTACACACCAGGGTGTATCCCGGCTCGCGCGGTATTAGATCGTCTTAAAAAGGTGGTATACATATTCATATGAGTTCCTAGAGAGTTATACTATAACCAGTCCCGGTCTGGTCCCGGTCTAGTCCCGGTCTAGTCCTCGTCTATAATCATCAAAAAAGTCTTAAATTATGTTGTCCAAGTCTTACTTTTTTCAGAAAGGTCTTAAAATTTCAATTAAGCCCTATTTTTTGTAAACTCAACCCGGGCT